GGGGGGGGGCTGGAGGGAAATGCCTAATATTTGAGAGAACCCAGCAAATCCAAATATCGGTGGTCAGGTTCTGATCAGCGTCTGAATTTTAGAAAATCCGGGTTCTTGTCAGTAAGCTCGGGGGACCCAGGGAATTTTTAAATGCTCAAGACGTTACCATGCAGAGAACATGCCTATAATATTTGTCTCCTGAGGACACTCACGGGGACCCAGTGTAACAGGCATGGGTTTGTTTTGTGCGGGGCATGGCCCAGGGGGACCTGGGGGGCCCCATGAGATTCTGGGGAACCTGCCTAACTCAGGGTCACAGGCAAGCGCCTCAAACCTCGGGTGACCGCTCGATGTGCTTTTGGGGTGACAGGGTCTAAATTTGAAGGAACCTGAGAAGTGAGTGACCAGGGAGCTTGGAGAACCCCAGAAATGAGTGCCCCCAAATCTTCATGGCCCACAGGAAAAAAAAAGTGCTCAGTGAGTCTGGGGGATCAGAAATCCCCCTCCGGGCTGGGTGGAACTCTGCGGACCAGGGCGCGGGCTGTTTGGGACTCAGAGAAGGGAATTCCTGGACCCCGTGGGGGCTGCCCCGCAACTTTGGGGGTCCGAGGTAACTTGCTTAGTGTGTCGGGGAACCTGGGGCTCTTCGTGGAGAATTTAGGGAGCCCAGGTTGGGGCCAGTAATTTAGTGGAACCCGGCAGATAAGAGCGGAGACTGTGGGGAAGCAGTGTGGGGGTGTCAGAGCGGGGGCGGGGGCTCGGGAGACCTTGGCGTTAACCTCCAACCTTGTGGGGACTCAAGAAAAAAGTGCCACTTGTTTTGGGGCACACACCTAAGTGCCACAAGAGCCCTGTGCGCCCTCGGGGGCGCCGGGCCAGTTGGCCAGCGCGGCCGCGGGACGGTTAGTGTTGAAACTGGAGGGGGCCCGGGTTAGTGGCCCAGGGATCTCTCTGCAGGACCCCGAGGGGACGCGTGGAACTGTTGGGAGCCCGGGAGAAAATTCCCCGAGTGAGTGGGTGGAGAGACTCAAGAGCACGCGCGTAAATTTGGGGGAGCGAGCGAGGGCTTCCTCTGTTTTGAGGTCCCCGGAAACGAATGGCTAAGAAAATTCTTACTCCGGGGAAAGTGTTGCGCGTCTTTGGGGGACTTGGGGGCCAGGCTGTGGCTCGAAGGACCCCAGG